ATTTTTATGACACATATTATAAGTTTGATTGGCATTTACGGCCTCTAAAATATTTTTAAGTTTTAAATGTTGTGTTTATATTAATGTTTATTGTATGTTTAAATGTTAAACACAACATTTATATTTAAATAAAATAATAAAAAAGTATTTATTGTTTCATGTATTTATATAATATATAATATAATAGTAGCTCTCTTAAAATTTTCATATGGAAACGACAAAATCATAGAGTCACTTACTAAGTAAGCAATGGAAACATGGTTTTTCTCTTACTCTCAATTTTATAATTTGCATTGAAAATAACAACAATTGTACTCGTGCTGTGCCCGAGACACTCTACATAACATGACCCTCTGGGTCAAAAGTGTAATAATTATATTATTAGCGATTTATAAAAATATGCTGTGTTGCTTACTGCCATTTTTTCTCCAAAACGTATTAGAATTGTAGTAATTTGCTCTTAAAAGGCGCAAATTTCGAAATTTATTACTAAACAACACTGTTTTGCTTTAGTGCCGGGGAACAATTACGCCGGCTCTTATGCCGGAGTTTGAACGGACATATTGTTTTTTCTCTCATTTTCAAATTTAAAATTTGCATTCAAAACAACAACAATTGTACTCATGCCGTGCCCGAGACACTCTGCATAACATGGCCCTAACATGGCCCTTAAAGTACAAAATTTGACAGATCGAGACTGAATTTAGATTGAATTCAGATTTATCAACCGACAACGCCATTAAAATTAGCTTTTACCACTTTAGTTATAAGGCCAGAATAACAAAATTACATTGAAATCAACAATAGCTGTTTTATGTCATATGACACAATTCATAGTTTTTGATAGAATAATTGATCAATTTACATATCATTATCACCGTATACTTCGGAACTGTCATTTATCCATTATAATAATAGATCAATCATAAAGGTGGTACCTCAAATCTGTTATGAATTCATTCATAACATATAATAACGAATCATTATTTGAAATTTGTAAATTTCATTGTAGTAAAATATATATATCATGTATTTTGCTATAACGGATTGAAATATAAAGATTTACCGCATCTATGTACCTTTGTCGCTTCTGCTTATATATATATATATATAAATGTTTAACTATATATAATATTATATATTGTTGTATTATGATATAAATTATAAATATATATATTAGATAAATATACATTTCTTATACTCAATAACACGTATTCAAAAATATTACTGAGTATAAGGATTCTATCTAAATCTAATTTTACTTTATGTTTAAATAATATCACAGTATCAAATTTTACTATCTACAAGATAATAAAAGACTGGCTTCAAATATTTCTGAAAATTAATAACGTAATTAATACGTTATACAAAATTTTAATATATTCCAATATTCCGACCTTGTTATATAAAAATGTTTTGTATCGCATATACTGTTTGAAAAAGTACCGCACCATTGACGTTGCTGAAAAGTATTACTGATCATCTATGTTATCTACTTAATGGATATTTATCTTGTAATTATTTAAAGCGTGGCAACACCAACCTTGATTTTACAGAAATAATTTTTCACGCAATCTTGTCACAATTGTGCGGGGGAATTTCTTTATTTTCGGCGCTCGGTTCTATATTAATTTTAAAACAGGTGAGTTATGTATAAATATATTAATTTTGTCTCGTGTGAAACATTCAAACAATTGGGCCACTTTGTAAACATTAAGCGTCATAATGCACAAATTTTATCATTTATGCAATTTTAAATAGATAAGCACATTTCTGTTTCTGAAGAGGGAACCGAAATGTGATTTCAGTCATTTTTGTGCAAAGGTGTTACAGTGTTTGTGTTTACACTAGTTTTGTAAAAATTTGTATAAATAAAATAAGTGTTAGTGTTGTATGGAAAATGTTTCGTTTGTTTATTAACGCATATAAAGGCAAATTATACCAGCATATTCATGTTGTACGTCATGCATTTCAAGCGCAAAACGTAAGGTTAGTTATTCATTTGTTTATTTGCGTATTACGCTGAATTTATTTTAATTTTTATGTTAAGAGTTTGTATTAAATGTACAGTTATTTTATATTTATTCCATTTTCTCATCATTCGCATCTGTATAATTCAAATAATTTGTTTATTTAATCAAGTCATTACCAGCGTTTACTTCGCAATCGCATTATTACTGTAAAAAGCCCTGTTGCGTATTTTTTCTTTTACGCCCAAACACGTTATGATATCACGTGCAGCTACTTAAGCGAAAATGTGTAAAAAAGAAAGACGAGCAAAATTCTACTTTTGTGGAATAAAATAAAATTATGTAGGTTTCGTTGAAAAAATTTTGTATACAAATAACATTGATAAACAAGAGCGAAAATCTATAAAACCCTTCATTAGACCAGAAAAAATATTGAACTTTCGATGTGCACAATAAAAAATCTTTTTATAATTAAAACATTTTTCTGTGTTAATAGTCCTACAAGGCCTGTGTGGAAATATGTGAAATGTGTTAAACATGTAATTTGATGTTCCTGTTTAGAAAATGAAAAAATAAACAAAAAATTTTGCGATTCAGCACAAAATTGATGTGTACGTTTTTTATCTGTTGTATGCAAAGGCTGATTTGTTTTCAATATTGCATTATAAGTTTTTAAATAAATTTAAATTCTTAAAAAATCATTAGCCTTCATAATACACTTTTCATTCTTCCCTTTTTTCTTCTAAAGGTTTGCAGTTCGTAGGTGTAGGATATAATAGAAAGGGGTGTCCATTTTACAGCTCCCCATGTCACCTTCTCCTTCTGTTATAAAATTCTCTTTTTTAATGATAAAAATTTCTTGATTTATTATTTTTTGACAATTTGTCATTTGAGGGGATTCTAGACCACTAGATTGTGTTAGCATTGATAAAGTTTTGCATTTTGCTTTTGATTTTTGCATCGACCAGCCCTGTTTCTAAGTTATAAAGCTAAAGTGATTTTATCAAGACTTTATAAATGTTTTTTTTTTGTTTTTGGTATTATTTACATTTTTTATATTACGGAAGTTATGCTTACTGCGTCATCATCACGAGTTATGATGCTTTTTTTTTACTACCGCTTTAGTACTGATATTTAAAACCCTGACGACTTTAAGCCTTACAATGGTTCAAGGAACCACCTCTGGTATTGTGATCACTTGTATCGAAAGCTTGAGCAAATGACTATGCAAATCGTCCATTTACCATATTTTATAAACAATAAAATTAATCCTTAATAAGTCAATTCAAATATGAAAGCAAGAAAAGACAGTGTGATATTTTCTACTAGTTAATCTATTACATTAAATTTTTGCGTATTATTTTAAATCACCCTTTTATCCTGCATCTACCTTGCTTAGACTTGAGTAAGATTTTTGTACACACACTCGTTTTTACACTAACACATATTAATTTTTGTTTGTAGACAAAATTTAGATATGAAATGCAATTGCATTTCCTAGGGTGGCGTTTTCGAGCTTAGTTAAAGATTTTAAAACTGGACCAGTCGCTAACCAATTATGCTGTCATTAGTTCAAGGATCGATTATACAATCTTGCCTAAAGATCAGACCGGAAAAGATTCCGGTTTATGAATTGTTTTTTCCCACTCTCCCGTAAATTTCAAGATGTTTTTTTTTACCAACTCGAATGGTTTTTGTTAAATATATTGTTGTTGTTGTGATTTGAGTTAATGCTATTGCGCACTTTTACTCATTTGTGGCTGGGGGGTTTATCCCTGCCCAACACTTAGCTTTAACTATACTAGAATTATTATCATTTATTTATCTTTCAACTGATGACGGACAGTAGATCAGCATATCTTCCTGTGCGACCTGAGGTGGACTTAAGATTTGTTAGGGCGGGGTTGGGCGACGCATCAACTTTTGTGAATAATTTTGGGACTCTATCCTAGATATATTTTTTCACTGAGTCGATCTTTAGATCTCTATGCATGTCTGTTGTTCTAATATACCAAGGAATCTTAATTAGTCTTCTTAAAGCCAGATTTTGTGCTATTATCTTGAGTAATATCTTGAGCATTATTTTTCGAATCTCTAATTTCTGCTGTAAATCTAATCTAATTTTCATAGTTTTATTCTGCTTGGTTAACATTTTTTAACTAAACAATAGACAACTAACAAATTCAGACGCTCACGACTGACCAAATCAATGTTATTTAACAATGCAAATGAACATGTGTTTTTGCAGCTCAAAACAGAAAAGAAATTCGGGTAATACCCAATTAAAAAATTAGAGCTCACACTTGCTTGTGTTGCCGAACAAACGGTTGTTTTGAAAAATTTATACGCTTAGGTAAATTGACTCAAAATTACGTGGTACGTATGTGGATGCTGAAATTCGGTTAACTTAACCGAGCGTTTAATTTATGCGCAGGTTAACTTTTCCTAGATTCTAGTGAATAAAATTTTGTTAAAATATTTCGTTGAAACCACATATTGTATAAATCGAAATAATCTCAATCATGCCAAAAAAAAAATTTTTAGTGTTGTTTTTGTAGAATTCTCTATTGACGGTAACAATTTTCATTTCCAGACCAATCTGTTAATGTGTATGGATGAAAACGTGTTTCATGCACAGCGGCGTATAAGTTTTTTTTCGCTTTATATGTCATAATTTTACTTATCAATTAAACATTTAGTTTTTTTTTTGTATCAATTTATAATCCATGTAAATGTATTGGTTAATTATGGAAATTCATGCACTTTTGGAAAAAACAACTGCATTTGCTGTGTGCATTAATAATGCAAGTTGGCAACTCTAGTGCTTTATGATATTCTGAAATCCCCCTTTACGCTTGTGTAAATTCATGGAGTATAAACTTGTTATCAATAAATAAAACAAACTTGTTTTTTCATAATTTTTTTAATACCTATCTATCTGTTAAGTGTTTTTGTTTTTGATGAGGCGGTCGATGTATTCGGAAATTTCAGTGAAAATATTTCAATATTGAATTCAGTTTCCTCTCAGCGATCTTAGGTTACTGAAGTGTGGAGTTCGTAAATTGATTTTAAAATATTTCAAAAATTCGTTTTACTATATAATAATTTACTTAAATTTTTCGTTTCGTAATTTTCACAAATTCGTGATAAGTGGGAAAATACAGGCAAAATAAGCACATTTTGACAAAATATTTTAAATCCAAAAAACAAACACAATCATATATCCACAATACGTGCACATAACAAAGTCCGCAGAAACATATACAGGGAAAAGCTTTGCATGAAGTGAAAATTGTTTATGTATTGCGTGTATGTATGTATGTACACATGCGTGTGTGTCTTTCAATATTGTGCTAGTGAATCATACACTCAGTACACGCTGCCCCGCTCAGTGCTTCCTTTGCTCAATGAAAGAATTATTGCAGCTAAAAAAAACCACTGCGATTCATGTTAAGGGGAAGCACCAGAGTTGTTTAAATACACTTCCGACAATAAATGTGAAAGAGAAGCGCAGCATTTGGAATTTAATAGTTGAGCAGTTGAGTTAAATACGCAGTTGAAATAATTTATTTGAAAACATTAACTAAAGAATTGAAATTATATTAATAATATATATATACGCTTAAAGCACGTTGAACGTTCAAGCATTTCGTCAGAGACACAGTGAATTTGTAAAACATAAATTTTATTTTTAATTGTTTTTGAAGTGTAAATGTTATATATGCAAACGAAAGCTGACGTAGAGAAACGTTAGAACTAGAACTTGAGAAACGTTCAATTTATGAACAAATATTAAACATTTTTCATACAATTCTTTTTGATAAAATAATTGTATAATTATAAAATTTATACCACACAAAAAATGATACAAGATTATCTTAATATGGATACACAGGAAAAGATTCGTTACGTTAGCGAATCATCGAATGCTAGCACAAGTGGATACTCGACAATGTCTCCTGGACCGAGCACAATTCTGAGTGGTAATTCACCGAATTCATCAGTATTTTCGTCACCGGTACAATCTCCAGCCACAGCACTACAGACAGAATTCTCGAATTTAAATTTGCCATCAACAAATTATATGCCTTTGCAGGACAGTGTTTCCCAATCATACGCACTACTAAATTACTCAAATTTCGACCATTTAACTTCTGTGAATATGTTGTCACACCAACCGCAACATGCGCCGCTTCAGCCGCAACAACATATAGCGCTTACGATGATGCAAACGAATACACCAGTTATATCCCCAGGTCGAATGCCACAAAACAACTATATAGCTGAACTGAAAATCAGAGAAGAACCTATGGAAAAGTTTCGATTTCGCTATAAATCTGAAATGCATGGTACACACGGTTCACTAAATGGCGCAAACTCACAACGCTCACCTAAAACTTTTCCAGAAGTTGAACTTTGTAATTTTAATGGACCCGCTATCATACGCTGCAGTTTATTTCAAACAAACTTGGATAGTCCTCATTCTCATCAATTGGTTGTACGCAAAGATGAAACGGACGCATGTGATCCACATGATCTAAAAGTGTCGCCAGATATCGGTTTCATAGCAGAATTCCAGAATATGGGTATTATACATACTGCGAAGAAATTTATTTTCGATGAATTGCTGAAGAAAAAAACAAATAGATTACTTTTTGAGTTGGGCACGAATGATTTGTCTACAAAACAAGCACAAGAACTACGAAAACAAACAGAAAAAGAGGCAAAGGAAATGAACTTAAATCAGGTAAATATGATAATTAACTTAAAATACTTTAATGATTTTTTAAAATGTATATTCAACATCCTTTTAGGTACGGCTTTGCTATGAAGCATTTAAAATTGAAGAAAATAAATCGTGGACACGTATCGCTGCACCAATCTACACAAAATTTATTAACAATCGCAAATCGGCACAAACCGGCGAATTACGCATATGTCGCTTGAGCATTGCATCGGGCTCTGTTAATGGTGGTGAAGATATCATATTGTTAGTAGAAAAGGTTAGCAAAAAAAATATAAAGGTACGCTTCTATGAAGTTGATGAGGACGATGAAGTTATTTGGGAAGACTATGCAAAGTTTCGTGAATCGGATGTACATCATCAATACGCAATTACATGTCAAATTCCTCCTTATAAAGATAAGAACATCGAGAAACCTGTAGATGTTCTAATTGAGCTGTTACGTCCATCAGATGATGAGCGTAGCAGTCCACCAGTTACGTTTCGTTACAAACCACGTGAAGCTATTACCTCACGAAAACGTAAACGTACAGGCACCAGCAGTTCTGGTAGTTCGCTTAGCTCATTTGAAGTGCCAAAAACTGTACAAGAACAAACGGCCAATTTAATGCCTGGCATAACAACCAATATGTACACTCCCAGCATGACGCCATTCACTCGAAATGGAAATCTCACAATTAGTGAGGAATATAATAAGGAAACCGAAATACAAAAAATTTTAGGTGAAGACCTCACAAAATGTATAGATTTGAATTCAGAAGAATTGAAAAAAATATGCCCACGAAATCTGTCTGAAATGATGAATGATTACGATTTCAGTTTTGATGATTTGAACAAATTACAAACTGATGGTGGTGGATCTTCACCCCCAAGCTCAAATAACTCCTTCATAAATAGTAAACAGAAATCCAATATTTACTCTGCACTGTTAGCAACAAACGTGCAAAATAATCCATATTTGCAACAAATTTTCAAAATTTTTGATGAAGTACGTAATCTTACTAAAAATGATAAGGTTTTGAAAGCACATTGGGGTAAAAAAGTAGAAAAGATTTTTACCGAGCACGCGGAAAGAAACGAATTAGGTGACACACTTCTGCACGAAGTTATTGTGAACGATAATCCCAAAGTTGCTTTTAAAACTTGTCACATACTAAGTTATTTTGAGCTTACAAATCTCTTCAACATCTGCAATATGAACAACGAGAGTCCGTTACATTGTGCCTGCATACTTAATAAACCACATTATATAAGACCGATGCTTGCACTGGGTTGCAATCCAAACACACAAGACAGAAACTCCAATACAGCACTACACATAGCAGCACAAGAAAACTATGATAATTGTGTGGAGAGTTTTTTGAATGTAAGTGGTGGGTCCAAGCCCCCTAGTGTTAGAATACGTAATGACAATGGTGTCACAGCATTACATCTTGCAATACGGGAAAATAATGTAAATATAGTTAAAAAACTACTATTACTGGACAAGTTCGCTGCACTGGAACCCAATTCTAAAGACGGTAACAACGCGTTGCACATGGCCGTACTACAACAAAATATTACTATGGTGAAGTTAATAATCAAAGAACTGAATGTAAATGAAATAATAGTGACGCGGAATGCAGCCGGTCTTACAGCAATCGATTTGTCCCGGAACATAGATAGTGTTGTGGGTAAAGATATATTTATGTACTTATCACAACTCTGCAAGGAAACAAATAGTCCCGTTACTATTAAAGAAGAAGATATTTCGTCGACATCATCTACCGAAGAAGACGAAGAAGAAACACGAAGCAGTATAAGCAGTGTCAAGATAAAGTATGAAAGCAATACTGAAGAATGTGAGAACAAATCAGATGCAGAAGAAAATTTGCAACTAGAAGACTTAGAGCGGTTTAAAGAAATCCAGAAGCGTGAGAGGCATGCACAAATTTTGAAAGACATAATAGAAGATAAAGTCAATTATGAACTTCTTTTGAAAATTTTAAATGAATCCAACAATTGGAAGGAACTGGCTCACAAATCACAGATTGGACATTTAACATTTTTGTGGCGCAGTGCAGCAGATATGTTGAACTATGTGAAAACTAAGGATGACGGAACACTCTATCAACAATTGGCAACTGCTTTATATCACTTCAATAAAAAAACAACTGAATTGTTCGAAACAATACAACCAATATAAACGGTTTTTAATTTGAATGTTTAGATATTTTTAAGGACTCACTTTTCGTAAGTGTCGGTACGATAAAATCTGTACGAATGGAAATTAAGTATGAAATTGTAGGTGTGAATCAATAAGTAAATATTAAGGCTTAAGTAGATATTAAGAAATAAAAATTTATTTAATAAATAGCACCCTACATACATATATGTAGGTTTAAGCAGTTTTTAGTGCCCTTCCACTTTATAATTATTAAAATAATATTGTATTTGTAAAAGTCTTAACATTTTTAAGGCATTTTAGAGATAATATTTTTCTTTGTTTTTAGAGAATTAACTTAATTTTTGCTGATATAAAATTAAAAAACACACATGTAATTTAATTGTTAAATTAAGATTGTTTCAAAATATTTTATATTCCTTTTTTTGACGCTTATTCTAATTATTCTTTCTCATAATGTATGAAATAAAACAATAATTTTTCTATTTTCTATACTACGAAAAATTAGTAATACTTTTATATTTAAAAGTCATAAAGTAAACATTTTATAATTAAAACAAAAAATGTATAATTAGTGAAATAAGTGTTACTTTATAAATAAATGCTTCAAATGAAGACACATGTTTACATAATTATATATATATAATTTTTCGGAAATAATTTAATAACATAAATATTTCTATAAAAAATTTTATAATATTTCGAACAAATATATAATTTTATATTTCTCTAAATATTTTTTCACTTACATACAACTACATAATTATATTTATGTAAAAAACAAATTTTACGTCACATTTTAGATTATATTGATTTTTGTTTGTTACAAAATTATTAAAAAATTACATTTAAAATAAAAAAAATTATACACATCAATCCAATTCAAAAAAAAATTGTACAATAAAGAATATAAAAACAATAATAAGGAATTAAATATACAATAAAAAAATAAATTATAAATAACCTTTAACTGTTGACATTTCTATCTTAATATTAAACATATTAATTTATTTTAAATATTTAAAATTATAACTAATATATATAGTTATATAAATAATCATAATAAAACTATTTTTGTAAAAATATTACGTTGCCTTAAAACATTCTTTCTTAAAACATTTATAGATGGTGATGTCATTACGAAACAACCGTTCTTAAAGACCCTCGTAAATAATATGGCTATAAAGTCTTAATACTTTCCTTCATAAACCATCTATTGATGAGGACGTATACTTTTCGTAAATCTGCATTAATATTCAAATAAAGCCATAACCCTTTTCTTTCCTTTTTAATCTCATTAAAGATAATATATTTAAAACCATAAAAAAGATTTCGAGCAGATAACAACTGCTTGAAAATAAATTCCCAAGATCACACGCCTTGGTCATGAACCATGAACACCTGCTCTATGGCTCATCATTACTAACCGCGATAGTAGGGATCAGTAGGTTTCTTTGAGTCATAATAACTATTTTTTATGGTCTATATTTTAAGGTAACCTTTATATATTAAATCCTTTGACTCCTAGGTAGACCATATGGCCGCAAGGTAATCTTTATAACATCAAATAAAAACATTGATTCTTTCATAAAGTTTATTTAAGCTTTTTTTACTAATTGTTCCATAGGAACCTGGGGTCTCACTTAGTGCTTTGTCTTGCTCGAACTGAATGTGAGTAAATCTTTAGCAACAAAAATCTAACATTATTTCAATAACGAAATAAAAGTAATATAGTGAAGAAATGTTAATATTTATTATTTTATAAATATTTTATCTACAATTATTTTGAATTTTAAATACTCCAAAAATCACATTTCTAGCAAGTTACGTATACTGTAATACTTAATAAATGACCATTCCATATATATAGCAATCAATGTAGAACCATAAATCAGTTAGTTTGAACTACAAATAAGTTCAAAATAATAAATGTTAATTATTTATAATAATCTTATAATTATATAAAAGTATCTACGTCACTTTAACTTGTTCTATTTATTGTAACAAAATTTGCTGCTTAAACATGTTCTACCACACAACGTTTACAATATAAGCATTACGTTATTCTGGTATTTTATATTTGATCTTGTATGTTTTTATTAAATATTTCTTATATGTATGCTTTTTTGTGCTGTTACTCAACTTCTAAACGTTCATATTCATTAATTCGTTCACGTTATCACTGCACTTTTTTTGTGATATCATTCCTTTTGGTGTTTTAAAAGAATTAAATAGATATCTCTAAGTACGATGGAACGTCTCGAGCTACAGCAACAACAAATAAGTTTTAAAAAGGGCTTCAGTAGATGGTGACATACGATAAGGTAATTAAAGTGAGTTATTAATTGTGGTACTTTAAATCGACTACCGGGTCTTTTGTTGTCCAATTTAGAACAATTTACTTTTTATTTGTTTTTCAGAACTACAGTAATTCGATATCAGTTACAAACAGTAAATCATTAGCAAAGTTTAAATATTTTCTAAATTGCAAGTTTTCAGGATCCAAATAAGATATAGAAACTTAGGTATTACTATAATATATATATATACATTTTTTTTCATTTCGAATACAAATACATATATACAAGGCAATATATGTATTTGTCCGATTCTTAACTGTATTATGATATATTGCGGTACATATAATTATACATATATACAGGGTTTCATAAGAACGCACATAAATTCTGAAAATGATTTCTTAGTCCAAAATATTGATAAAATTGTGTGAATGAGGACCATTTTCAAATTTACCAAGATGTAAAGCGTTTAAAGACAAAAAAGTCTCAATATTCATAGTATTTACATTTTAGTCGATTAAATATACATACATATGTATATTAATTTAATGCTTAGGCCGTGTGGGAGTTAGAATAATATGAGGTAAAGTAAATTGAAATTTCCTAGGACCTTTTTGTACTCCACTTATGTAAATATTTATTTATTTATTTATTGCATTTATTTATAATTTTTGGTTAAAAGTTTTGAAATTTATTTATTTATTTATTAAACATCTTATAAAATTTTCCCTACTCGAAATTCTGGTAAATACCAACATTCGCTGTCATACCGACATAATTTACTATTTCCCTAAATTTACCATCAATTTACTCGGACTCACACACAGCCTTAATATTTGTTTATATTTCTGAGTTAATGAGTTTGGAAATTATCATAGTTCTAAATTATTGTTTTTGTAAAATTTTCGACCAGTGTTCAAGAAAACCTCAATTGCTTTATGAAAATATATCTGGAATTTACAGAACGTACCTAGAAGAAATACAGACTGTATATATTGATATATACAATAAAAATAAAACCTCAATTGTTTTAAAGAATTTTTTCTGGAACTTACATGTCGTGCCTAGAAAAATCGCGGTATATATATATATAGAGTGTCCACCTATATATATATTGATATATATTCATTGATATACATATGTATAACATAAATATAAAAACTTTCTGGTGTACGTGTTCCATTTTATTTATCAAAAAAATCGCAATCTTTTTTATGCTGAACTTGATTTATAGACCTACAACTTGAGATTGTGTATTGGTCTTATATTATCTGCATTAATGTTGCGTGAGTTTAAGTTCACCTAAATTGCTCTTGTCTATACCTGAAGTCGGCTTGAATACATAAGATTTTCAATAATTTTTTGTTCATACAATTTTTTTATAATTCTTCAATTGTTTTTTTATATATTTTTTATTTGGCTGTAGATCCCTTCTTATTAAATTATAAAACGTTTAGTATTTTTTATTATACTCTATATTTTAAATCTCCTTGAGAGTCATCATCAGGATTATAGATAGAACAAAGAGAATGACGCATCGTAATCCTTATGATGACTCTCAAGAAGAGTCGAAATATAGAGTACAATGAAAAATATTAAACGTTTTATAACTTAACAAGAAGGGACGTACAGCCAGATTAAAAATATATAAAAAACCATTTTAATAAACAGGTCGAAAAATAAATTATGAAAAAATTTTATATTTTTCAATTGTAATTTTCTTATATGACAAATAATTAACATTAACTAATTAGATTAATATAAAGCACTACATGCACAGTATTTATTTAAATTATTTTAAAATTAATAATAATATAGTAGTATTTTGTGTGGTTTTTAGTCATTTGGTTCCACAGTATAACATTTATTTATTTTATATTTTATACATTTTTGTAATTAACATATTGATCATAAATTAATTTATTAATAATTTATCAATAAATTAATTTTAGCTGAAGTGCTGTCGAATAAATTTTGAATCAGTATTGCAATTATCTTAGATACATATATACAAAATATATGTACATATATACTGTATATATTTATTATATATGAGTTTTGTTTTACATGGTTAGAATTTGAAAAAAAAAACAATTTAATTTTTTTATCACTTAAAAGCTCAACAAAATACTTCACAATTTTTTTTTTTTGTTATTTAATGTATAATTATTTGTTTAGAGTATAGCACATATGTACGTATGTATTTCAAATGATGTGGTATTAAAACCAGTTGTATATGGTATTTGTAAATTGAGGAGAGAAAGAGAGAAGTTGCATAAAAGTGAAATTAATATTAGTAATCGAAAAGAACCAAGTCATGAGTATCTCCAACACACATCTAATAAATACGTTCATGTATCTGTTCGAATGTACGAATGGCTGAAATACATTTACCGGGGGGATACTAGCTTGTACATGATTCCACTGCCAGCTATTTTATTATTTGATATGACGTCGCGAAATGTAAATCCCCACTAGCAAAACAACTTAATAAAAACAAAGCAAATGTGTATCACAACAAAATTGTTAGTGGCATTTCTTCTGAGAATATCACCCAAAGCATGCGTAATCGCGTCTTGCCCGTCAGAAGTCAACACGGAGAGCAAACATGCTTGGGTTTTATAATTATTTGGAATGGGAATATATTATACAGTTAATATGCAATTCTTAATATGAGAATTACTGCCACTGCAGGGGAATTACCCATTGGGAAATCCCAGTTATTGCGGTGGCATATTACGACTGCAATATTTACAAAGTATCTCATATATGTACATACATATGTACATACGCGTACGATGTACATACTGGACATGCCGCAATATAGCTTACACATTGACGGCCTTGTCTTCAAGTAAAGCACACAGTTTTGTTGTTGTTTTTTGCGGTTTAACGAACTGAGTAGTCTAGAGTCTACACCAGTTGCAGTTTAATAAAATAAAAAGAAATAGACAGCTCACGTTTTGAATATTAAT